TGAGAAACGGATTGGTTCCTGATGCCCCATTCACGCTCAACGGAACGAACATCACCGAATGCTCCAGCTACGTGTACCTAGGTAAGCAAACCAGCCCTTTTGGCGTTTCGGCTGGGACCGTATGCTGAATGTTGGGGAGGGGATGGGGTCCCCAACGGTCGACGGTTTACTTCAACTCGGTTGGTACGATAGGAGAGTACTGACGCAAGTGGTGCAGCTGGTCCAGTAGCTTCGCCAGAAGGACCGGTCTGCTCACCCTTGGACTAAGCCTAGGAGAGGGGACGGACCCGTCCTCTCTTTAAGGCTTAGTTCTAAGGTAAGCGCCAAATTGTGGCGGTTCTAAGGACCGAGTTGAAGTGGTCCGTCCACCGTCGGGGACTCCATCCCCTCCCCAACATTCAGCATACGGTCCCAGCCGAAGCGCCAAAAGGGCTGGTTTGCTTACGTCGTCTAGGCTCGGGAAATCAATATGATGAACGATCTAGCTCCAGAGCTGAGCAGGAGGAAACGAGCGGCTTGGGGAGCGTATAAGAACATCGAGGGAGTAGTGAAGAAGACGAAGAACATCCGGCTCCGTGCCCACCTCTTCGATTCCGCTGTCCTTCCTGCCCTAACCTACGCCTCAGAGACTTGGACTCTGCGCAGGCAGGACGAGCATGCGGTCAGCGTTATCCAACGCGCTGTCGAGAGGACGATGCTAGGAGTGTGAGTAACCCTATACACGCAAGTGCAGAGGGGAATCCGGAGTTCGGAACTACGCCAACGATCGAAGATCAGGGACGCTGCCGTTTTCGCCAAGGAATCGAAGATAAGGTGGGCCGGACACGTCATGCGATTTTGCGATGACCGTTGGACCAGAGCGGTTACCGACTGGATCCCTCGGGACGTCAAACGAACACCTGGACGACCGCCGGCCCGATGGTCAGACTTCTTCACGAAAGCTCTGAACGAAAGGAATGATGGACTTCGTGTCCCTCGAGCAAGGAGGATCCACTGGACCACCCTAGCACGCGACAGGGACGAATGGAGACGTTGCTGGCGCCCGCTCGAGCAAATCGACGATCAACGGGACGACAGGTGATACAGGTGAAGTTTAGGCTCATTATTTGCTTTTCAGAAGGATCGCAGAAAGAAAGCAACTATCTTGAAGAGCTGATCTTCAATCTATCGAGCCATATAAAAGGCTTCCGACCTCTCCGGCTATGCTTTTCATTTTTCCAGTCATTTTTCTGTGGAAGTGGTGTGGTGGTGAGTGGCGCTGTTAAGCAGGTGCATGGTCGTGGATCAAAACTTGGATCACACGCCGTTCAGGTCACTCAAACCTTCCATACTTAAAAGGCCTTTTGATAGACTCATACATCGGCTGCCCTCTCCCCTTCTTACAGCTTGGCATTCGCCCACAAACGCCTGAAACAAAGCATAAAAACATAAAAGTTTAAAGTAGTCAGTGCGGTGAACTCGTTCATACGCCACTTTCTGAGCTGTGACCTCTTCATGAGTGAGAACCAGCGGCCAAAAAGGGGTCCCGTTTTGCATTTTCTTGACGGATTTTTCTGCTTTTTTCGCTACTGGCGTACCATTGAGCACCACCACCCCACGTCACACTAAACCCTTCTTGAATTTATCGTAATCTCTGCCTTTAAAGGAGGATTCCACGATAGGTCGAAAGTCGAAGAAGGAGAAAATCACTTCGTGAAAAGATGGATATATCCTCTGAGGCTGCGGACGACACGCAGTTCCCGGAAAGGATATGCCTCGGCGACCTAGCATGGCCCTCTCCGCGCGCTATCGGCGCGGCACGCCCATCGACTGGCTAACCACTCGCCGCAGGTCTCTAGCCGTTTAGCAGAAAGAGCGTTAGCGTTGAAGAGGGCGGCAAGAGTCGCATCGATACCGAAGTCAACGGGTGGGCAAGAGAGGGTCTCATTTCTCAGGTTCTTTGCCGCTTGTCATGATTTTTTCTTGATTCTGGCACCACTGACCACCTATACCTTAATTTTAATGGACTGTATTCTAATCGTGAACCCCGCATTCATGCTGGCTCATCTGCAAAGCAAGTCGAAAGAGGTTGGGCTCGAGATGAAACTGTCCAATGTGAAGTAGCCCCACCATCAATTTCTGCTGCAGTGAATGCTCATATCTGAATCCCACTAACCCACAGCCATAGCAGTGTAGCGTGCCTCCAAAGAGGATGGTTACCTTTCCCGACCGAAGTCATCGTCTGTGCTAACTGACAGCCTCACTTATCTGGGTAGTAACTTCATTGAGTTGTTTTAAGCCTAGAGAGGCTTGTTGGGTGTTTGACGAGGAGTCTTTTTCCTGAGATTCAATGAAATGTCTTTCACAGTCAGCAAACGGGTATCGTTAGCGCACTTTTTCGTGCTTGTACACCCACTACCGGGCCCAGATGTGATCGCGATTAGGTGATGATGGAATGCGGCTCTCTCCTTGAATAATATCTGCACTCACGAAAGAGTGATTCACAGTTGTTTCGTAAGGATTATTTTCTTACCATTAGCGCATTTTCGGGCACAGTTCAATGCCCTCATGGCAAGACGAAAAAGACAAAATTGGATTGCTCATACAGAGGGACTGTCTGCAGCGCCTGACAAAACGTTGTGTCATGGCTTGCAACGATTCTCATCAAATGTCAATAAACAGAAGAAAGATGTAGTGATAAGTAATAGGTCAATATAGAAGTGGGTTCGTTCCGCCTCTACCTCAGACGAACCACTGTCTGCCGTCACTCCCTAGAGGCTCCTCAGTGAGGTAGGAGTGACGACAAAAATGCTGGTATCAAGGATGTCAAAGAACCGAGAAACATTACTAGATGAGAGTAATAATCAAAGTAAATATTGGATGTAAAAACAAGGAAGCAACTGAACTAGGTTATGGGATCAAGGCTCCGTAGAATCCAGTGTTAGAACGTAAAAAGATACTCAGAATACCTGCCTTGATTTTTCATGGGCAGCTGTCCTTCATCGAATAATACAACAACCCTAATAATCTCAAATTTATACTTTTTTGAAGCGGTGTGATTCAGGTCAGCTCCGATCTATCCTGAATTAATATGAAAGACAACTATAATTTAGGTTTGGAAAGAAAGTTCTGCGACACTCTTTCCAAAATTTTCTTTTTTTCTGAAAAATTCATAGGTAACATTTATGACTACCAAATGGTAGAGCATTCTCAAGGCTTCAATCCACGAGGGTGGATATAAGTGCTGCAGTCAGTAGTTATCCAAGAAAATTCAAAAAATCTCGACCACTAGCAAATCCGTACTCCGAGTCACTGTCTAGTACAAATGTCTACAAAACCATGGATTCGTGTCAACGACTGACACTATCTGCAATAGCTTCTAATGGCATGCCGTTCAGCGCTACAGCGTGTTTCACCTTTACCAGCGCTTCCGATCTTTTGATATTTTTATAAGAAGCCAGCAGCGTCCCTACACTCCATTACAGGTAGGGCTCTTACGGAAGCTCAACTACAATTCTTCGTTATGGGCACCATTGTGTAGCTAGAGGTCTAGGCTGCGGAACTCCAGAAGCTGGCCGAGGCAGCTCGTCAGGAGCCCTCGTACCGCGACAATATTCATTTCTTTCATGACATTGCGAATCACCATGATCCGAAATGAGCCCGGTAAGAAATTCTGGAGTTGCGGCAAGATTTCTTACCCTCTCTTAGCGTATTCCCCTGGTCGAGCTATAAATAACTGCCACCTATCCTGGACCTTAAATCATCATCTTGATGACGAAATAATCAGACGATCAACTCCAACTCGAAAGTGAGGTCGCCTCCTTTCTCGACCCGCACTCCGCTGGGTTTTGGCGAAAGGAGCATCAAGAAATTTTCTGAGCGTTGGAGACAAGTGGTGGACACTCATGGTAGATATAAGACCGGTCAGGAGTTGTAACCAAAAAAGATAAAATTAAAATCAAAAATTTGAAAAAGTGTTGCAGGACTTTCTTTCCAACCTAATATTTCAGGAGCGTGAGGATGATGAAATCGATCCCTCCTAATGTTTTTCTTTTTATACTCGAAATCAACTGAGTGCGGCCAAGAATTATCTCGAATAGATTGTGTTTGGACACTTCTGTGGGGTTGATGCATAATTATTGCGGATTTTTTCAACAAATTTTATTCACTGAAGACGACAAAAATATTTAACAAAAACATGTTTAAATTGTTATTTCGAATCGTATTCACCATCCATCAAGAATGCTTCCCATTTGCTTTTCAGTCGGTCGTTTCCACCGGGTGAAAAAGTCACGATTCTCGGAGACGATCCACGCTCTAACATCGGCCTCCAAGTCATCCAGCTCGTCGTAATTTTTATTCGTTTACCGGTCTATAGGAGCTTCGCACCCGGTAAATATGGCTTCTTGAACTTCTTCACCAGCTTTCAAATTAGCTTTAATGACTGTTCCCTCGCCGAAAAGTTCGTCGAGATCGCAAATTGACTCTGCCGCATTTCAACCTTCCCTAAGTGGTAGAGCATATGTGATGAATATGATGATGACTTTCGATAAGCATTTTTGTTACGAAAGAAAGAAGAATATAATAAACAAAATGCCAATTTTTTTCAAAAAAAAAACAATGGGCGAAAAAAAAAAATCCGCAATAATTTATGCATAATACCAATACTAACAGCGCTGAGAAATCACTTCGAGCTACGTGTGTAGACGAGATTTGGATACCTTGGTTACCACATTTTTCCGTCTCCAGGTATACTTCACCCAATAAAAGTTCACCTGACTTGACCCAAAAAATATCTGTCGAAGGAAGCGGGAGGTATCATTTACAATAAAAAATGCCGGTTTTTGTAAAAATTACATAAAATTATAGCGATCGTCCCAGGAATCAGTGCACGTGAACACCTTGGTTCTTTCAATTAGATGTGTGTGAATATAGAGTTCAAATATTCATTATAATTACATATATCACATTATTTATATCTTTGCACAATGGTATCAAATTCAGAGCAAGTGGAACTACTATGAACAAGCCACTCTATTCGTGTGTTTCTGCTTTCCGACATAAGCCGCCTTCGACAGCGACTCGGAAGTATAAACAGAGATTCGGTGAGTGTCAGGTAGTTCTTTAGAGATGATAGAGTAGAGTGACTCCAACTCCGACGCGAGCAACTGTAAACAGACAGAATTCAGAGATCATGTATAGTAGTAGTAAAGATTTGGGGCGTGCCCTTGAGTTATTATTGGCTGTTGGGGTAGAGTGGCCAATAAGGGGCGCAGACGACATCTCTCTTATCATTTTGCTGAAGTTCTGCACATTTTAGGCATGAATCATTACTAACCGTGCTGTGGCTCAGGTCAAGTATAAGATGCTGTAGTCGTCGCGTATCGTTGAGATATGGGGCGTACTGCGACAGAATTTGTTGGATTTCCTCGTGAGAAAGCGTGGACACATTAAAGCCGAAGTCTGAAAAGAACAGGTTAGAAACTATGAGTAAAATTGATTAGGTTCAGTTTTTGAAGGCATATTTTATACGTCTCAATGTCTGATGGGCGACGTGCGGTCGCGAAGCGGCGCAGTGTCCCCTCGCTGTCCGCGCCGTGTCGCGACTGCACGCGTCCAATGGTTCCAAACACTTGGAATGTCTTACATAGGAGATTTTACAACGTTTCAATGATTACTACTGCTAACTTTGGATAGGAGATTTCAATATGCTCTCGAAAAACATCTGACCAACCTAGTTTCAGCACTTGAAGTTGCGATCGATGACTTCTCGGTAGAGCGGCATGAAAAGCGGCCTGGAGTGCCATCACTGGTTTCTCTCGCCATCCAATTCGTAGCGTGACTGTTGAGGGAGGTACGCCGCCTTAAATTCCGCCAATAGTCAAGAAATAATATTTTTACGAAAAAAAAATGGAAAAAAAAGTAAGCAGGTTTTCATTGTTCAGACCAGAAAGAAGAAGGATCATGGGAAAAGCGGAAAAATGGGTGCTGTCTTAGTTGGGCGGGGGGGGGGGGGGGGGACCACGCAGGGACGCGGGGCTCTGTTTGTCTCCTCCTGCAAGGCTTAATCCCCAATGGCGGTATTTGAATCACGCCAAAATGAGTGGCGAAATAATGTATTAAACTGCCCTGGGACTTAATCCTTTAGAGGAGTCAGCACGAACAGTGTTAGCGCGGCGCCGCCGCGTGGTACCTCCAGAATAGCGATAGCACCGGAAATGTTACGCACTTTTGAACACCTTAACGATGGCGTGATGCAATAGTGCACCACAATTTCAAAAAGCTGACCAGCTTGCTATCGTCGATTTCATCTTTCATGTTCCAATAACGTCCACATCATTATCCAGGAATCACTGTATATATTAAGTCACTATTGTTTATCGTTTCAAACAAATAAATAAATAAATAAATAAATTCCTATCACTATGAAAGACTGGAATAATAAGCTTTAGGAAATCGATAATGACAAAATTATTCAAAGTTTATGACTATTGCTGAAAAAATAGAAAAAAGATGCCGAGATACTGTCACAGTGGCTACGGTCAATGCGCTAATGAAATGATGCTTTCTGTGGAACGGAAAAGCACTCAAAATGAAAGAGCAAGCGAATCCGTATAAAATCAATATGTCTTTTGTTACCAGTAATGATCCGCAGAGGACGGAAACTGAAGAAACAGCTCGCTGCCAAGACAACGCAATCCGTGTGCTACCGGGACGTGAGTTTCCATAGAGTTAGCATAGTGCGCACTGATTACCGATCCATTTAGAAGATATTCGATGGGAACTTCGAATGGGGTCGTTGCAAGTCGAACGATTTAAGCGAGCGACACAGATCGACGCCATGGAACGTGGTTAGTCCTCTGAAACTAGCTTTGACATGTCTTATTAAATGCAGAACCCAAAATAAAGAATCAAATAACGAAAGCCCGCCAAGTGGTAAATCCGGAAATCGAAACCGTTAAGAAAAAGCACGCTTGTACAATTGCGAAGATAACATTTTTCTGCAGGAAACATGGTTCTCCGCATTGAAAGCAGAAAAATGTGGAAGTCAAAGCAGTGTGGTATGCTACGTTCCGGTTTCCGAATTCCGTCTCTAGAGATTCGTATAAGGTTATGAAGTGGCTGCTGCGCCTAGCTAATGGATCAGTAATTAGCTCCTTTCCATCTACGTTGAACGTTGCTGCATCAATTAAACAAATAATTAGTAAATAAATACCAAATAATAAATTAATGAGGTACTGAATAAATTTTCAATGTGATGAATAGGGAGCTCCGCAGAAAAATTGGTACTGATCAAAAAATGGTAAAACCCCCAGAAGCTTGAGACTAGACCAAGTCTTATGATTTTTAAAATGCAGTCGGTGGTGATCTATATGGTGAACGCACTGATGCCTGCTTAATTTTCTTATCTGCTCAATTCCACTTTGCATTGAGTAATAGTCACGGGATAAGAGAGGGCTGCCCTGGACGGTGCTAGAGCGCCGGGGTTCGTTCTGAAGACCATATGCATGGCATTTTAATCGTATAAGCCACTGCTTCACCATGTACCATCTTCACATATGCATATATATCTTTGTTTTTTTTTCCATTTTTTGTTGCATTCTAATTTTCATAGATAATTAATTTGAATAGCAGCTTACCCTGTAGGCGAGATTTTTGGCGATTTGATTGGATAACGTGGTCGTGGCGTTGACCTGTGAAGGTTGTGCGGTGGTTTGATCAGAACTGCCGGACAGACTGACCAGGTCTGAGAAGAAGTTCGACGTCATCGAGATCATATCCTAAAAGTATAAACAATTTATCAAATAAATAAATAAATAAATAAACAAATAAATAAATAAACAAATAAATCAATTAAGCGGAATTCTAATGATTTGAAACGACTGTAATGTGCGCAGTGGTGTGAGTCGCTGCAGAATCGTGTGAACATTAAGTGCAGTCTTATTTATTGCTTGCTTTACAGCCCTTCATACACACAACTTGCTAAACGCTATTGGGAGGTTTATGTACATATCTGCGAAGCCAAAAAAGCTACTCCGACAATGCCCTATCTAGACGCCAAAGTATGCGTCCCAACCTGCAGGAACCAGAGGTGGAGTTCAGACATGAGAATTGTGCACGGCGCATATTGAGTGACCTCAATGTAATGCTATCGCCTGCATTTGAGTACTTCTAGTCCCCCACACGATCCTTTATACCTCGGATGTCCGGTAGTCAGCTCTAGTTTTACATAAACTCAGTCTGTAGGACGCAACCTGCTCTCTCAATCTACGTCTGCGCACCGTGGAAATCCATAGCATCATCTGCTTTCTTGATTAATAGCTTTGAGATTCTTTATAGATTTGTACAGGGCAGTTTTCCAATTGTCCGAAACAGTTGCTGTCGTGAATGCCGTGGAAGTGGACGGAGAGGAAAGCGAGAATACGGTATCTGAATTGTGTAAGGAATAGAGGGAGGTACTAGTGCATTCTAAATAATAAGAAAGCAAGGGTGAGTTCATGAAACACCAAACCCAAATGAGTGGTCCAACTAGGTTGTGCTATAGAACAGAAGGGGGAGTCGCTCTTGTTACTTAATCGGGAGTTTCACCTATGCGAATGTGCGAGGTAGGTGAATGAATTGGGCGTTGGGTTTACCTACATATGTGGATGGGCGAGACGAGTGGTCTAATTGTAGCAAACCTAAATTAGCGAACCTGGAGCGGGGGGAATCAATTAGCTCTGATTGACTCAAAATTACATCGGTATGAAGCATCCAAATAAGCACACCGCACGCAACTATTTCAATTTTGAAATTCTGTTGATTCATGGTTCATTCTGTTGAGCTGGAACATTTGCAACAAAATCTCCTAGCGAACTTTAGCATACGGTGCTTCCGGATGAGAGTACCACTGTGAACGGCCACGCGCGATTTGTGGGACACGCACAATTCTATGACGCTATGTTAGCGAAGGGGTAGGAAAATCGCTGCGTTGCGCTCTTTAGCGCCCGTGCGATACACCTAGCCCATTCCCCTAATCAGTCTCAGAGAATGGAACAATGGTGTCAAAGGGCGGCGAACAGCTGGTGTTAACAATGATCAGCCCCGAACGAATTCGTTGTGTAAGCAGTTTCCAATAACGCGTTTCCAACTTTCTACACTTTTCTTCTTAGAGGTTGGATGAGTGGCGCCATCTAAAGGAACTGCTTACAGTTGCCCTCAATGATAGGTTCCAGGTAGTGATTCAAGGTTCATAATAACTAATTCCGAGGGCAGTGCGCAGGTTATGGGTTCGTAGCCCCAGTAGAATACATTCTGTTGCTGACCTTGAGCTTCCCAGTTCACTTCCAAGTGCTTCAGATCCACGAAAAAGACGTTATCGATAGTCGCTTCTAGGCATGGGTGGGTATTCTGGAAATGACAGGTGCTTTCTCCTGGCGAGCATACCCATAACTTCGTATTAAATTCAGTTTACCTTTAGATTGAGAAATGTCATCGAGGCACATAAATTGTCGAGCCGATTTCACGAGATCAGCTCTGGTGGTAGCCAACCGAGATCTCCAAGGGACATTCAGAAAGTCCGTCGGTTCGAATGGGTGGATCTGTTAGAATTATTTGAATATAATTATGTTGGTATATTTTAAAACTGAAGTATTCGTTGGCGGAAATCAATGAAAGGGAAAAACGCAAAAAAATGAAGAAACAAAAAATGGAAAGCAGTGTAAAGATACGAGCATAAGCTAGACAATCGAAAAAGATAAGGCGATAATTGAGAGAGTGCGTGGGGCATTCGAATCCCACTTAAGAACCTTGTACGGAATCACGTGTTCCAATTTCGGGGAGCCGCCTGATACGGTCCCGGCGGGCTTTTTCTATTCAACATTCCGTCTATTTATTGCTCTAGAGCAAAAAAAAAAAAACTGTTAAGTGCGGACAGACTGATGCCTCACAGTCGGCAGAAGCCTTGTGGCATCGTAGGTAACTGCAGGCTCAGCTTTCTAATTGCAGCGACCGTGAAGTAGGCTGAGATACAAGAAGACCTGTCTCTTATGGGCCACTGCGTCATGGTGGGGGTAATTTGATGCTCTACCGCATCTGCTTGAAGAATGCAGCAATTTTAGGCTGCAGTTTGACGGATCTAGGATTTAGATCATGACCCTTTAATTGCGACATGGGCTGCACTGTCAGTATAGAAGACATTTGGACATGGATTTGGGCAACCTGTTAGTATTTTACCGAGCTATAGCCAAGGAAGCTGCAAAAATTTCACCACGAAAAAGTTTCGCAGCCTTGACCGTCAACAGTATTTCAATAATAGTTAATACGCGCCGCCGAGCACGCGAAAATACGAGCGAGTGGTTAAGAGGTTAGACTCATGTCTGCACCTCTGAAAACCGCGAGTTCGATCCCTGCCGAGGCTTTAAACCATGCCTAGCAAAAATTGCAAAAATGGTTCTAGTACCAGCGTCAGGCCCAGGTTGACAGGCCGTCTGATGAAGTCCCAAAGGCAAGCATCACTGCTGAAGAGGCGATCTATGTCTTAGTTGAGTGCCAGAAGGGAGATAAGGCTGTCCAATTACGCTGGGATGTGCGAAGGCAGAGGGTTACATCATAAGTCGGCTGTTGACTGACCGTTCCGCCAAGAGGGTCACGCAAACAGTAATACAATAGGCGATGCGTGCACAGCTGATCGCCGAGAGAGCTGAGAGACGAGAAGAACGCAGACACGAAAAGTAGGGGCATTTAAAAAAAAAGTGGAAGTGGATTGTTGAAAGCTTCAAAAAACCTCTACTCTGTGGATCGAACGGCTCATACTTACCCGTCGGAC